TGGAGTGACTGAAGGATATGAAGATTCAAGCTCAGAACCACCTTTGAGCATTTCTTTTTTTTCTTTCAGTTGCTTAGCGAATCCGCGAAAGCAGTGAGTTAACTGGGCGTAATGGAATTCTGAGCCGATAGGTGGAAGTATTCCAGGTGAGTGAATGTTAGCGAACTCCGAATTACCTTCAAATCTTGAGCTAGTTGACAAGGTAGAAGTTCTTGCTTCTGATGAGCCCCTAGACGGCACATACGAGTAGGCGAACCAATGGAGAAGAGTTGAAAGCATCGATACTCGACAGAGTTCCAAGTTCAGACTTGTTTTCTTTCTTTCTTGAGAGAGAGGACCAATCAAAAGTGGAATAAGGATTCCTAATAACCTGGACTTGTCGTTTTATTCTAGTTCACTGACTCCTCTTTCTTCCATCTTCTTTGAAGCTTCTTCTTTCCATGCTTCATCTTACATAATTACATTCATAAGCAGGCATGATACAGCTATATCCGATACAACTGGTGTTGGCACCTTAGAGCCGGTAAGAGAGCTTTGCCAGCGAACCAATCCGAAAGCGTCAAGTACCAATCCCATCGGTCGTAGCCAGTTCATTCCAGTCGGTGTAGAATCAATCAATGAAGGAACTAACTGCTAAAGGGAAGGATGGAGTGCTTTCTGTCAAGAAGAACCAGATTGACTGTGAAGTGAATCCTGCATGCCAATGAAAGGTACTTTCCAACAAGAACGGGAAAAGCTAGATGAACTTACTAGCTTCCTTTCTTCATTTGGATGATGCTGTAATTCCTATTGTCGACTCCGAGCTCTTCTCTTGGTGGCTAGCTTTTGGGCAGCTGTTCAGCTCTTCTGACTATGCTTTCTGCGGTGAACTCTTTCGACTCTTCATGGTTTGCTTTGAAAAAGAATAGGTTGTTCTCAGGTGTAAAGGAAGAGCTGCTAGTAACAAGTGAGGGAAGGAACCCTAGGGTAGGACATCAACATAAAGTAAAGAACTCTTAGCTGTGACCAATAAAGGTAAGCGAGGAGGAGATTGAACGCTTTCGAAGACTTCAAAGAATGGAAGAATCAGGAAAAAAAAGATCTTTTCTATTCGATGCTTTTACTCGCCCTAAAGTAAAGGGGACAGGACCATCACCTCAAGGACAAATCCCAGACACAGAAGGAGAGGCCCCCCTAAAGGCCGGGTCTATTACACGAGCATGAACTGAAGAACGAATCGAAGGCTTAGAACGATCGAAGGATTGGGCGCCAAGGATGATAGGCTTATTCGATGACTGACATTGCGCCGTACTCACACCAATGGAAGGCTCGGACAGCTGCCAAACCGCTTCCCTTAGGGGCCTATTATACCACTTCCCGGAATAGAAGACAAGAAGGAGGTTTGACATCACTCGTGACACAAGAAGCTCACCCAAGGTGGGAAGAAAAGTAAGCACTTGAGACGGTTGCTTCGGTAGGAGTCAAAAAGGCTCCAGAAGGAACTGCACTCGGCTTGCCCTACCGTGTCCTTATAGGGTCTGAGTGACTGTCAAATGGGTAGCTGGCTCTCCGTCAGTCTCAGTCTGAGCTCTCTGGAGCAGTCCTATTCGTGTAAGCCGGGTATTCATAAGAGCAGTTCCTAGCCGCATAGACTTTGACTTTTCTTAGTAGGGCGAGACAAGGGATAAGGCAATCAGAGTAGGCTTTTACCGGCTTGAAGCTGGGGCGCCTTTTTCTGGGTCTGTTTTCCTCCTTTCTTTGCCGGAACTCCTACGCCCTCAGATGGGGAAGGAAAACGAGGCATATCTTTTCCGGGCTCATCAATCCCCCAGGTCTTGGAAAGGAGCTAACTGTATTCTTACTGCTAGCAATCAATCATTACAGCTTTTTGCATAAGGGAAGTCAGATGGAAATACACCATTTTGGTAGTCGCTTGTCTTATGAGTGAATCTCGATATATATCTATGGCCTTGAAGCTGAAGGCCTGTTCAAAAGATCAGATAGGCGGGTGGAAGCAAGAAAACGGCTGGCTAGCTCGTGCAATCTAAAAATGAGTCCTTCGCTTTAGTAAAGTAAGCTATCTTTGGTTTCTAAGGTTCTCGGGGCACTACGGTAGGACGTAGATCGATCATGACGAGAATGGACTTCTCCGTAATGTAATAGAAGAGTCACAGCCCCTTCTCGACTAGACGAAGGAGATATGAATTCCATTCAGGCTTGGCTTGACCCTCCTGGAGGCGCAAAGTTCATCATTCAGTGTGGTGGGGAGCCTCGCCTGGCAGATTGGGATGACTTGGATGCTGGGCAGATCCGGATAGAGTCTCGCTCATAGATAGAGGAAGAGTACGCGCGCTACGGGCAGTTGATCGGATCAGATAGCCCTTCGGGCAACCAACCGCACATCAAATTCCGATCAAGAACTTGGAGGGATGGCTGAGTGGCTTAAGGCATTGGTTTGCTAAATCGACATACAATCTTCTTGTATCATGGGTTCGAATCCCATTTCCTCCGGCAGAACGGGCGGGCGTGAGAGAAAGAACCTCTTGGCGGAGTTCCCAAAATAGCACTACTTAGTGACTAGGAGCGGAGAGCCTGTTTCGCGTTTTTTTTTTTGTTTGACCGGTCTATCTTCTTTCTATAAGCAAGCTCCCTCCGGCAGGGACTGGACGGCTCTCGGTTCTTGAGCATGTTGGGAGATTAGGCGGCAGTTGAAAGAGTTGCTCGAAAGCTTGACGAACAAGCGAAAAAAGCCCTATATCTATTTTAGTAAAGGACTTTTCCCTTACTAGTCAAGTGGTAAGGTAGGGCGCTCTTCGATGAATAAAACACAGACTTTAGGAAAGTGGTTCAGGTAGCTCAGCAGGTTAGAGCAAAGGACTGAAAATCCTTGTGTCAGTGGTTCGAATCCACTTCTAAGCGGGCGAAGGGTCCAAAGCAAAGGACACGTAGCCGGGAGCGAGCCGGATTTGGAAATTCAAGTGAAAGAAAAAGCCAAAAAATCTCGCTCCTGCACTCTACGGCTTTTTGGCGTCGCCATATCTTGCTGGAGGCAGATTTTCTAAAAAAAGCGGTTTCTTACTCGGATTGGTTCTCGCCTCCCTGTGTCCAAAAGGATGGGCGAGTTCGGTTCAAGTCTTCATCGATCGGGTGGATCTATATGCTCCGGGGGGGTGAGACGAGGTGTAGCGCAGTCTGGTCAGCGCATCTGTTTTGGGTACAGAGGGCCATAGGTTCGAATCCTGTCACCTTGACCAAGGGCTATTTATTTTGATATAGATCTAAACCCTTTCCCGGGAAAAGAAGTTAGGGATTTTGGGCAACAGAAAAAATGGCTGTTGTTTTGCTTCTCCATTTCCAAGCAACCCCATTCCTATCTGTAACCATATAAATGACGAGTATGAATAACGAACTGCCGTAGCCCCTTTCTCATCTCTAATGGCCATGGATACATAGTGGCTGGTCGAGGGGTTTGGTTATCGCTGGCACTACTTCCACTTTCTCGCTTCGTACTTCACATTCGATCAGCGATCAAACTTTAGGCTAGTTTATTTCCCTTCGTCCTGACCTGGCATACAAATAAAAGCCCATGACCTTCTTTTCGTCTTCAAGGAATGTCTGTAGCGTTCTCATCTCTGTACTGAATGATTGAGCTACCCATGCTATGACGGAACTACTCCACTGTCAACTGATCGAACTAGACTG